CGGCATATGGCCTCCTCTTCTCCAACATTCATGGCGATTTGACGTCACAGTGTCGCGCGACAGGTCGCAAACGGCAAGCATACTGGGGCCTTAATTCCTCTTTAGAGAACTTTTTATACAATTCTCTGTCTGTATCATGTTTAACTATCATAAATACTTAATAGGCTTCAAATTCAGTGTTTTATTGTCCTTGATGCTTTGCCGTTGTTCTATTAGACAATTTACTTTACATTTATATTCATATTTCTTAAAATCAAGAAGGCCTTGTGACCCCCCATGAGGCTTTGACGACCCCTAGTGGGGGTCACGACCCTGGATTGGGAACTATTCTTGTAACTGACCTGGCTGACTGGTACATGAGGTCTGGCTAGGCATCATTGGGTCCTCCATCTGGATGGCGAAGACCTCCATCAGCTCATTACTGGAAGACGCCTGTGGAGCAACAGAAACAACAATAGGATAAATTTACATTTCCGTCTCTACTGTAATTGAACCCTGTATCTTTCATCTTGACTGTTGTGAGCATGTTAGCCTGCCCAGGCAGTGCATTCATCAGACAGATACCACACAACTGGACTTAGTGCTCTCAAATCTCAGTCTAATGAAGAATCACCATCTCCATACTTATCTAATCTAATCTAATTACTACTAATCATGACCGACTGGCTCCACCGACAAAACCTACGTTCTTATTTGTAAGCGATACTTGCACTTTCCCATGAACAGTGAGGCATTTTATTTGTATTTATTTATTATGTATGACCTGTGAATAAGTGGGCAGTTTGGGGCTGACTTTTTAAATGTATTTTTCTCCCTAGAGGAGCTTTGCTCATAGTGTGAAGTAATTGTTTGCTTGCAAAAGCTTTCCAAGTAGCTGGGGGACAATAATCAACATACAAATCTAACTAAAATATAAATAATAATTATTTAACCCTGGTCTCTTATCTCCAGAGAATAATGACGCATGTTATATGTCAAATTCATATATCGTTACTTGAGATAAAAACCTTGAAACATGTCTGTGTTTGGTGTTGAAATTGTCATTAAGACCTTAGTTTGTAAACATGTTCAGAAACCTTCATACTTCAGTGTGGTTCACTGGATTAAAGCATTCACATGTCTGATGATGTGTTTTTGTACATTTATCAACATCGAGCAATTTGGTATCACCACAACCAGCTCTTGAATGAGAAACGAGACCAAAACAGGGGCAAAAGAGGAACCAAAACTTCTACAGAGTGCCTAATTTTATCCACCACCACATCTTTAAGCCTCCAATGTTTAAGACCATAGTTTGTAAACATGTTCAGAAACCTTCATACTTCAGTGTGGCTCATTGGACTAAAGCATTCACATGTCTGATGATGTGTTTATGTTAATTTTACCTGATTTAATTGTCCCGATGAAGAATCTGGCCGTGGACTGAACACTTCCTCTAAATCTGGACCCTGAAATAACGATACATTCCAACACTGAAGAGCTCTGTTTCGACATGTGACCTCCATCATTTAGTAAAAATTAGATAAAAGATGCTGAACAATGCTTTTTTTGTTGTTTTTTTACCTCGACTGGAGGGGCCAAACTGTCATTTAGAAGCAGTAATGAACTAGTCTGAAAAAAACAAACAAGGAGGAGACAAAATTGAACCCAGTTTTTAAAAAAACAAAAAACAAACCAAACCAAACATATGAATATAAACAAACAACTGACTTGTGCCTCTACTGGTTCCTGTGGTGTCTCTTGGTCCACAGCCTGACAAACCTCCTTGATGTCAACCAGGACCGGATCTGCCTGATGAACACAGATAAAACACATTTAGTGCAAAAAATAACGACAGTCGTCCAGTGCTAATAGATAGTTTGCGGCATCTGTCTGCAAGAATATGCAAGTTAACCATGATTCATAAGTGCTACTGCTCCATAAACTGTCCTCCAGAGTGCCCTCCAGTGGAGAAAACATGATGAACAGCCCTCCAGGGTGCAATTCCAGTGCACAAACACGGTTAGGGTGCTTATCCTAACCCTGACTCAGCTGTTTTTATTTATTTTCTTTGCCCTTGCCCCTCAAACCACTGCACTGCTCAGACATTAGGTTATAGAAAATAACTGAGGGCACAAAAACACAAACATTAAAGAGAACTTTATGTACGTTCTGTTTCTGCTGAGTTATTCAGCTGTCAAACATACAATATCTTTGTAAACTAATGTGAGAAAGCCTTTTATTAACACATGGAGCTCCCTGACAATCTGAGCTCACTACATGCAGATAGACAAGAAACAAAGTTTTTCCACCAAATAAACATAACGTAATTTGTTTTTGTGTCTCTTCTCATTCAGCATGTTGTTGAAAGATAAAATTATTTTACAATTTTAGCTTTAATTGGCTCCTAATTGCCCAATGGAAACCACATGGTCATTATTTCTTCTAGCTAATAGTTGTTTGCTATAATCCGTTACATGTTTATTAACAGTAATGTAAAGTAAAGTTAATCTTAATACTGGCAATGGGTGTTTTTCCTGTCTTTGATATAATTGTGAGAATGCTTTCCTGTGATTTAAAGGAGCAAATATCATTGCTTGATGCTCATGTTAATTCCCACTTGTTGTATATGTATTATATATATTATAATGTGTCTGTAACTGACACATATACACATACGTTTGTTCACTGCACTTCCTACAGTAAACTCTATGAACCCGAGGATCCACTCCTGCCCTAAATATAACTAATATTTATGAATAACAACACCTGTTATCTATATATGTTATTAAGTCATCCCGTATGTGTCCCATGTTGTACTGCATGTTGTTACCAGGTTGGCCATCTTGATGTAGAAGAGGCTGAAGGTGTCTTGGTGTTGGTAGACGTAGGCCAGAGCTCTGGGGTCAGACTCATCTTTCGTCAAGGAGCTGATTCTGCTCCTGTCGTGGTCATAAAGTACCTCCTGAAAACAGACAATAAAGAGGATTTGAGCTTTTTAATTATGTTACAACATATCTACCACTACAGAATGCTGCTGAGATAAATGAAACTAATGGGGGAACAGAAAATGACCAATACTGCAAGAAAAAAAAGGGAAATTAAGGTCATAACCATAAAATGTTGCCAGATTTTATGGTTATGATCTTAATTTCCCTTTTTTGGCTGGTTTCGTATCTGTTTCTCTTTCTCTTCACCATTAACCTAATTGTTGAGTTTTGGCCTTGAAACTAACTGACTGGGATTTAAGAGCTCCACGAGTTGTTTGCAGGAGCAGGAAATCAATTAATTGTAATTTAGCTTGTTGAATGTGATGATGATGGAGAACAAGAAGCAGCTTTCAGCCACATCTGGACATTTTTTTACTAACGTCAGCCTTGGTCATTTCTCATGTATCTACCTCCTGGTTATCAGCATCCAGCAAATTGGTTTCACTACAATCAGCTCTTGAACCAGAAACGAGACTAAAACAGGGGCAGAAGAGGAACCAAAACTTCCACAGAGAGCACATTTTTCTTTATACCTCCAATGTTTAACACATTATTATTATTAGAAGAATGCATTGAGAAAATAAAGATTTTGCCTTCTAACTGAGATGGCATCATTGAAAATACATGTGTGGTGGATTAGACTTTCTCTTTTTGTCTGTAAACTATAAAGCAAAGTACTGGGAAACAGTTTTAAAGCACTGATCAATGTCAGCTGGATAAATATTCTGCTTCACTTCCCGAAGGAACCCTGAGAATTGTCTAATTTTGGGAGACTAAAAAAACAAAGCAAGTGTTATCTGTGTGGTAATCCAAGCTGGGAACTGTTAGGTCCACTGGAAACCCACAGTGGTTGTTGTGGTTGCACAAGAGGAAAGATACACTTTTTCAGGATTAACCATCAACCTGAGGGAGGCACTGCAGTTACAGGACAACACAATGAGGAGAGAGAGAGAGTCAGTGTCACTCACTCCGGTCCTTTCGTCCACGATTCTCAGGCCAGTGGAGGAAACCTTCAGCCAAACTCTCAGCTTGTGTCTCCCCTGTTTCCTTGCTGCTACCTCAAAGCCCTAGATGGGGTGAAAGAGTTTAATAGGAGCACAGTCAGAGGAGAGTGTGGGAGGGCAGAGCAGGTATCACAAAAGTAAAACTAATGTCTTTACTGATGATAATATATATTTAAATATTATGTAACTTTTAATGCTTACTTTTCTGCGACCGGCAGTGTCTGTTTGTGCATTATGAAACTATGTGCTCCAGGTCAGAGCAAGTGTTGCGGCAATAGTCGCATGCCGGCAAATACGTGACTTAAATTTTGGTGAAACTGGATCATATTTTATGGAGAAAACGTTTTATTGTTTTCCCTCTGATGTCCACTGGCTGTCTCTGAGATTTACAGAGTTTATTGATGAAGAATAAAGTATGTAGCTGCTGTTAGCTAGTAAGCTGTGCAAAGAGGATAGTGAGGGCAGAAGACTAATCATAATTTTCAGTAAAGCCCCTATGTACACTATTAGCAACCTTTAAATGATGCTGTTAACACCATAGCAACATGTACTATAGTCTGCCACAGTGTCTCTTTTGATCACTGGGAGGCACCAAAATCTGACATTTTCATACTATACATAGTGGCTATGTGGCAACAATAATTTGTTAGTACAATATTAAAGTAAGCTACACATCAGACTGTGGCTAACTATTTTCGGATGACATCGATTCACCTTCAGTTCCCTCTTGAGCGATCAGCCTCATCATTTTTTCCTTATTTTTCTAAGCTGTTGCATACTTATAGATACCACTGGCTCGTGCAAAGTCCTGTGAGATTAGAGGGCCTGAAGTCACTGACATGGCAGGAGTGAGCAGTATGTCAGAGGTCCCTTTTTCCACAGCAAGATTTTCCCACAATCCCTTTTTTTCAACCCAGAAAGCCCATTTTATTAGCTATAGTTTATACACACATGGCCCTACTTTATACCCCCTTGGAAGTTAGGTTTATTGTCTTAAAACATTGAATCAGATTAAATTTAATGTGGCTCTTTTGAACTAAATTCATTACACATATTAAATACAAAGTACTTGTTTTATCCCCTTAAGCCAGTGTTCAGTAGATGTTAAGTTAAGGTTGTGAGCCAACATGCACAACAGCAGCACCCTGACTCTGTTTGACCTGAATGGAACAAACCTTAATTAGTATAATTGGTTGTGTTTACCCAACTGTTTCACATCAAAATGGCTGCTGTGAAAAAGGCCTATTTTAGTTTTATTTGAGTGTAGATCTCCAGTACTCTACCCCGCCACTGCTCCTGAATCAGGCCATAAGAACCACTGACGACACACCTGTTATTTGATATAGATGTGATGTTTGTTTTTCATTTTCCTCCTGATAAAATGACTGTAGGCGTTCAAAAACATCATCTCGCAGATGGATTTTATTGAAGAGAGGTTGAGTTGATATTGGCGGCGGAGGAAAAGAATACCTTCAGTTTCATCATGGAGTCCCAGCACATCTTTTCCCCCTGGGCGTCGGGTACCGGGTCCACACCGATCAGCTTGGCTTTGTAGCGAACCCCGTCTCCGAGGAAACGGGAGGTTGCGTCAGTGGGTGTCCTTGGTGCTCCTGGGAAAACATGAAGAGGGGAGATAAAAGGGTCAAACCATGAGGACAAATCTGTGTGACTGTAGTGTGTGAATCTGTGTGAGAGCAAGGAAATGAGTGTCTGTGTTTATTTGTGTTACTTAGTTGTGTCTTAATTATGTTTGTAGGTCATAATTTAATCAAAATATGTGTCTATTTGTGTTTTTAATATGTTTGTGTGTATTTGTGTTTTTAATATGTATGTGTGTGTTTGTAAATGGATAATCAGTACAAGAATGTTAGCTTTATTATGTTCTTAATTTGTGTGTGTGTGTGTGTGTGTTTGTAAGCAAATTGCTAAGCGAGCGTTTCACTGATCCTTGGTCAATGTTTGATCTCATTTCCTGGAATAAAAACAGCAATTTAGTGATTATGGAAATGTTAGTATGTGTCGCCTCAAACAAAGGTCGCCTCTTAAAACAGTCTGCCTCGTGTTATGTAACAGTTTACTGGCTGTTAGTCACTGTTTAGTTTCATGTTCAGCACAAAATACATGTGTGTCAGTCAATGACCTGAACTGGTGACAAATATCCGCTAAAAACACAAAAAAATAGTTCCCTTTGTGAAACTCTGGTTGCTAGTTTGATGACAGTAAACTGGGAAATCAGCCAATAAAATCCCAACGTTATATTTTCACTCAACTCTCCCATTATGCCCATTTGAGGTAAGCTGATATTGGCTTTATGTGGGTAAATATTCTGCTGACGAAGTTCATCTTTAAGTAGTTCACTTCCTCATGTGACAGATGAGGAGAAAACAAATCTCTCTCCAGTTATGTGGAGAAACTCTGTAGAGTTAAGTTGGCAGAAGAAACTGCAATAAAAGCCTGATGATACATGATACGATTAAAACAGTGGCTGCTCAGACAGCATTCCTGCATGGTTATCTCACTGCATTGTGTTATGTTTTATTCTTTAATTTACTGATGTTTACACCTTAAATAATGGGATTTTTTTTGTGCAAGAAATCGCAATATCGGGAAAAGTAAAAACCTTTGAGCTCAAACTGGCTGATTGTCGAAGGTCGTACAACTGTTGTGCTGTATGATGGAGTTTTTGAGGTGTCTAGCGATTTTGCTCTTTAAAGAATTGATATGTATTTTTAGTCTTTATTATTTCTTTGGTCAGACATAAATGCCCGTCTCCGTCCTTAAAAAGGTCGGTGGGTCAGTTAAAATGGTAGGTTAAACAATATAAACAAATCTTTATCAGTCTATCAAAGTCTGATGTTGTACTTTTGTAATTTTGTCAGTAAACAAAACCAAACTATACTAAAAGCAAAATGCCACAAACCAAGCAGTTATAGCACAGGAAAACAACTGCATGATATAAATACAGTGGTTTGTCTTGGCTCCAAAGACATCTCTGGATTCCTGACAGTCCTACAAAGCCCCCTGAGAGGTTTTGATCAACTCTTTTAAAAGGTTTCTCTAGAATTTTGTTCCCCCCTTTAAAAAAAAACACACTTGAGATCACTTTTAGAGCGCTGATGTTTTAGTGAACAATTTGACAAGAAATATTTAGCAGGAGACGTAAAATAGCATCCTGGATTACAGGATACCCTTTAAAACCAGGTACACTGACACTGCAGAGTGGACCTGGTCCCACGTGTGAGCACTTCAGGGTTATTAAAAGATCTTGGTTTCAGTTCAATGGCTGTTTCAATATTCTGTGACAGACCAGAATCTTTTCATAACCTCAACCAGGTTTCACGCTTTAGTTGCTACGAGTAGATATATTGCAAGAGCAGCATCAAACCCACGTCTTTATGATTGCCCTTTTTTTGACTTACTTAGTTAGATTTTAAACAACGTCTCTAAAGTGTTTTATGTAAGGTATATAAAGCTGTTGTACACGACAAATGAACATGACTTACTTACTTTACCTTTGACCTTACTCTAAACTCAAAAACCAACCAAAGTAAGGTCAGAACAAGCTTTATTAACTTTTACAATCCTTGCGCCCGTATTTTATTGTCAAAGTATGACTACTGCGAGTTCACTGCTGGTTTTTATGGGAACACAGTTGAAATACAGTCTGACCCAAAGTGAACGCATTCTCATAAAACCATCATTGCTCAACACGTCTGAGAAGTGTGTAAAATGTACTCTGTGAGATTGATCTACATATCATCAAAACTTCTCCAAGTTGGAAACATGTAAAGGATTTCCAGTAAGACTCTTCTGTACCTCAAAGAGTGACATCAACAGTGTTTATCAAACAGCTGGAACAGCTGGAACAGCTGGACACCCTCCAGTGGTGCATGAAGGTGGAACAAGGAAGAAGAACAAAACAAACAGTGTTACCTGAAAACGCTCCAATTTCCCAAATATGAACAAACTTGCGGGATCAGGGGACATAATGTACTTCACCAACAGTATTTAGAAACACACACGTACAAACAGTACAGTGCACAGACTGCGTCATTTCAAAATGATATATCCAATTGACAACAAACACTTTTTACAGAGTGAATCCTTTTAAAAAACATTGAGCAACTGAGGGTAATTCATTATATTAATCAAAGAGGTAATCCAGTGATTTAGTATTGAACTTCTCGATAGAAGAAGAGTCAAAATCAAAGCAGCAGATGCTGAGATATACTGTGTTCAGACTGCAAGATGCATACAAAATGACTGGAAAAAGCCACAATTAGATGGCAAAAAGTTGTGTGAAAAAATTTCTGCACAAGGTTTTAATGTACTCATTAAGGAACTGTAGTAGTCTGCCAAACTGTGTCTGAAGAGTGAGTAAGACACTGTGCATTCAGCAGGTTCTGAAACGTTTCTCCTTAGGTCATAGCTGATCAGCAGCAGCCGAGCACTCATACCTCTTGTGCTGGAGGAGAGCCAGGTCCTGACAGCAGTTTGGCTCGGGGCAGGAGAACTCCCAGCCGTCTGCTCCGTCTCCATCATGACGACGTGTGTTTGGAAATTCAAGGCTGGTGTGCTCGGGATGCAGAGAAAACAATGTGGCTGTCACATGAGTTCGGCAGCTTGAGAGGAAGACAGCAGGGGGGTTGATGTACAGAGAAACCACAGAATGTCAGACATTCAAGAAAAAATAACCTGTTCCGGGATGAATCTGTGTTTTTGTTCTTTAAAAAGCAGAAGACAAATTGTTTGGTCTACCTCACCTGCTGGGAGTGTGTCTCTGCACTGACCCCGCTGCTTGGCTCGACTCACAGACAAAACTTCTCAGAGTCAAAGGTCAGGCTGCAGACTCACTGGTGATATATTAACATCCGCTGGGAGGCCCAAATACATGGGAACTCGGATCGAAGGACTGAAGAGGCTCCAACGGGAAGGACAGTCAGATGGTGCTGTCCCTCTCCGAGGACAAGTGAGAGGTCATGTGTTTCCCTCATGGAGAGTTTGGGTGGTATTTTCTTTAAATAATAGCCAAACCGCTGCCGGTGTGCCAAAAAAAACAAAAAACCTCTGCAGTTGGTTGAGAGAAAACCAGGAAACAATAAATGCTGATAAAGCGCTGTTAAAAAACAAACAAATATTAAATCTTGAGGTAGCACAGTTAGAAATAACTGTTATACCTCTTGTACACACAGTTTTAATTACAAATGTTCGTTACTTTGTGGGCAAAATGTAGCAAAAATAGTATACTGCACTTCAATCTTCATGTTTTTAAGGAGTTTTTCCATTGATTTAGTATTGTATCTCCATAAAGTTTGGGAACAGGTACTAAGGCTGAACTCAAAGGTCCAATGTGTAACATTTAGGAGGATCTATTGGCAGAAATAGATTATAATATTCATAACTATGTTTTCATTAGTGTCATCAATTGAATATAGGAATTATTATGTATTTGTTTCCTTAGAATGAGCTGTTTTTATCTAAATGGACTGTTTTGTATAGTGCCTTTCTAGTCTTCCTACCACTCAAGGCACTTTAACACTACACCCACATTAGTCCTTTCATACACATTCACACAGTGATGGCAGAGCCCATCGAACAGACACTAGCTCATTCATTCACATTCACACACCGATGACACAGCATCAGGAGCACTGGCTCCAGATAGGGTTGTTTTGCAGCCACTGTAGTTTCTCCTTTAAGCGAGGGAGTTGCAATCTGCAAGTACACTGCTATATGCCACTAAATCCTACACATTGGACCTTTGAGATAAATGCTAGCATCAGCATGCTAACATGTTGTTTAGTGAGTATTTTACCATGTTCAGCATGTTAGCAAAAAGTAAACACATTCTTTACTCAAGCTGAAGTACAGATACTTGTGTAAAAGAAGACTTTAGTAAAACAAATACTGATTCAGCAGGCAAGTACAAGTACAGGCTCTGAAATTGATTATATTATATTATATTAATATATTAAGTATAAAAGTAAAAAGTACTCTCTTGGTTTATCTGAAGGACTGTTTCTGTGCAAAACGAACTAAAAAAATGATTCAAATAGGGTCGAGTCTCCCTCTCTTGTCTGTTGTCAGACGTAACATTGTTTTTGTCTGTCGTGCCTGATCTGCACTGGTCTTGAGTAATGAGCCTGTTTTTGAAAATGTAGGAGTAGAAAGCACAGATATTTGTTTAAATATGTAGGTAAAGTACAGATACCTGAAAAAACAACTTAAGTACAGTGCAGACTCAGATATTGTGGAAAAAGGCAGTCATCCCACCTGTCCCCAAAAAGCCCTGTGCTAAAGAACATACTGATTTCAGGCTGGTTGCTTTGACCCGTGATTGGCTCATTTCTAACGGGAGGACCCGCCCTCACCTCCAAGCAACATACCACCCCTCCTGAAGGACACTGCTGCAACTGCTGAATTCTTCTTCCACCAACACTTTCTCCTTTAAGACATCATCAGACATGTTCCCCAGAGGGTTGAAGAGAAAGTGGCTTCTCCTCGGGAGGGATCAAAATGCAAGGGCTGCACTTTCTTGAATAAATGTTTATGAATTGTATCACTAGTGACTTGATATTTAGGAAAGAGGCTCCCCTGCACGTAGAAACATTTTCTCAGGAAGCTAAGCTAATTTGTTGAAAACCCCCAGAAACAGGAAGAGATTTATGTCAGATTAGATACGGCTTTCCCAAAAAGCTCCTCTAAATGAGACGGATTCTTTTAAAGTCGGAATAATACGCAAAACCAGAATATTTAGGTCAGTTGGCAGAGCGGTGGAGAAATTTGGTAACCTGAAGACAGGAAATACCATATTTAATCCACTTGATCAGTACGTCTGTGGGTCACGTAGATTACTGCCACTGTAGCACTGAGGGAGGATCAAGTTTCCTTTTTCAAAAAAAACAATGTCTTTTGATACGCTATCGAACTGTCATTGAAGTTCTTGCTTGTGGAGCTCCCTTCCTAAAATCCTCAAATTCACAAGAAAAAGTAAATAACATACGCAGGATATAACGTCAGCATCCTCAGACGTACTACGGACTGTGGGACCTGGTCCAAGGGACCTTAACTCAATGCTGATGAACTGGAACTGACTCTTAGTCTCAATCGGACCAAGTCTCAAACTGGATTTCGTTAGTCTGATGTTGAAACACACTAACAAACATCAGTTCAGACTCATGTTAGTTTGGACTATTTGGTGTTCTGATCGTTTTAGACATTATCCTTGTGTCATGTTGGTAATTTAGGCACTCTTGATTAAAAGTAATTCTAGAGTGTCGGCAAACAACTGCAATGTGATCTATAATATGATGTGCTGATGATCATATTTACAGTTAATGCAGGACTTGGCTCACTCATTACTTTCCAAATAATTGACCAGAATGACCATATACGCACACTAACCGATGAATAGTACAAGCAAATTCATCAGCAGCTCTCCAACATGAATGAGTCTCAGTCAGTTTATTCTGACTAATGCGGTCTAGTGTTTCCCACATCTGACATTATACAATCAAGGACAACAAATCTGCATGAAAACCTCCTAACCCCAGTTTCTCGGATTTCCACGTTGAAACTTAAACTGAAGGATTACATGTTCCTCTGTGAGTTGTGGAAACTTAGTGACCTCTTGAGCGGATGAAAAATATTCAAAACCTCACCGGAAAATGTTCTGTAATGAAGCTAAACAACAGTTTATACACAGTTAAGTTTTTATCTGAAAAAAAAGTGAAGGTTGTTGGCAGGTTTCTGGGTTTTACTGTTGTCGTTGAATGTTTTTACATTAACTGCATTTTCAATGTTAATAACTCCACAGAGGCAAATTCTCACTGTTATATCAATGACATGTTATCAAATGAGAAATGTTAGTCCAAACATTGTAAAGGAAGTTATAGGAAGTTTATTGGGGCCCTGATCTGAGTCCTTTAATACTGGAGCAGGATCTGCAGGCACCGATTCTGATGATGAAATAATTGGCTTTATTTTAGTAGATACTGATCCATTAAAATATACCTGTAGATATATATATATAATTTTAGTGTCTACTGTATGTGCAAAATTAATGCAAAAGTTATGTGAATTGATGAAGGCCTTTTTTCTTCATCTCCCGTCTCTAAATAACTGTCAAACTTTAATGTTTTATTATGTAAATAGCCTGCTCAGTCTTTGTCAATTGGCCATTTCATATTGCATGATTGCATTGCAGGAAGTTAATAAATAATATGTGGCCTCGTGTTTCTTGCTGTTAATTTATATTGTAGATGAGATAAGACTGGGGGCCTGCACCAAAAAGTGAGATTAAAGGGTTTGCCAGCTATCTTTGGGCTTTACACAGATTGTCCAGTAACATGAAGTTGGGTCATTTTTAACCTGGGGTAGATCACCATGGTAATATGCTATAAGGGTAACCTGCTTCAGAACAGGTCAACTTCAGAGCATCAGATCAATACCTTTACCTTTGCTTGTTGTTGAAGTTTACAGAGCCAGTTAATAACCAGCTTCGGATATCCAGGATCACCAATGTCAGGCTCAAGCCAGATAACTTAAAGAGAGACACTTCTTAAAATATCTCAATCTAGCCCAGTTACAGAACTACACACTGATCTCCAAACTTCCCTTTTTATCAAATCCTTGAAAAGCCTGTTGTGAACCAGCTCCTGAAGCTTTGACAAAATTCAATCTGGTTTTTGCCAAAAGCATAGCACCGAGACAGCATTACTAACAGTGTCTAATGAAATTTGTATGCATTAAGAGAAAGGTAAAAACTGACATTTCTGGTACGGCTTTAAAATGGTTTCACTCTTTTTTGACTAATAAATACTTTAATGTTTGCGAGTTTTAGACTGGATATCTCTGTTTATTGGACCATTACACACAAATATCAAACCCACCACTAAGAATCTTAGTATTATCTTTGACCATCATGTTACAAAACTTTTCCAGTTCTGTTTTCTGCAGCTACGAAATATTGCAAAAATCTGAAGCTTTTCGTCTTGCAGCGATCTCAAACAATTAATTCACACCTTAATTTCCCCCCGTCTAGATTACTGTAATTCCCTCTACACAAGCCTCATTCAAGATTCCTTAAATCATTTACAGTTAGTACAAAATGCAGCCGCCAGACTTTTAACAAGAACCAGACGTCGGTTCCACTTCACTCCTGTTCTCGCGTCTCTCCATTGGCTTCCTGTAAAATTCAGGATCAACTATAAGATCCTGCTGATTACATATAAGGCATGTCATGACCTTGAGTTAGATTTTAGATCCCCTTGTTCCTCATTCCACTCCTTGACCACAGCGCTTTTTAAATCTTCATCCGTTCCCCGCTCTAACTGACCGTGTCTTTGCTGTTTTAGCTCCAGCAATGTGTAATCTTCTTCACCAATCAATCAGATTTGCTGAATCTTTGGACTGTTTTAAGCAGCTCCTATAAACTTTTTAAAGTTATTTTTTTGGGCCTTTTATTGCCTTTATTTGATAGTTACAGGACAGACAGACAGACATAGATAGGAAAGGGGCTAGAGAGAGAGGGGATGACACGCAGCAAAGGGCCGCGGTACATGGGTCGCCAGCTCTATCCACTGAGACTGTAATTTTTTTTATTGTTTTAAGTGTGAAATTGCTAAAATGGACCAATCAAATGAAGATTAGCAGATAAACAAAAGTTAGTTAAGTGTCACATCACTGACACATCAAATCTTGAAATGTCTGGTCATCTGTCTGTGGCTTTGCTTGAATTTCGGCCTTCTCTAACACAGTATTTGTTCCTCTAAGCCAGGTACTATCACTGAACTGAGCTTACGGTGAATAAAAGTATAGTCTAAACCCCTGAAATATAAATGACTGCTGGGTAAAGTTTAAACACACACAGTAGAAGTGTTTATTTAAATTCATTAACAGTTTACATTTA